TCATCTCTAAAGCTTAATACAATCTGATCTGCTTAAGTTCTCTCAAAGTCAATGTTTTAAGTTTTGTAATGTAAACGCTCGTGGACCTCTTAAATAACTAACATGCGCGTGTATTAACAACAAGGATAATTAGCTTGAGTTTTAACTAGGATAACAAGTATAACAGTAGTATTTAGTTCCAGTATTTAGTTCCCGCGGACAAGTTTTTTTTTGTCTGACATTTCTTCTTAAGTACTTCTCTTCTTTCCATGCTATTCTTATGTATCACAGTTTTGCGGGTCCTGGGTGGATGATTAGCTTCAATTTGTTCAGTTGATGAGCTAATTGTTTCGTATTCATTGGATAATTTTTGAGAAACTAGCTTTTCTGCATACACCAACGTGGTGATTACTCATTGCTTTCAGGTTTTTTGATTTTCTGAGGTTGGTCCTCTATTGTCATCATTTTCATCCGATTGCTTAAAATTGTATCCCATTTTCCTGATTATGTATCTCCTTCTTGCGGCCAAACATGAATTTCTAGTCTGAGATTCTCATTTTCTTGTAGTGTTTTTTCGTTCACACCCAAACATCTATTGGCATCGTAACTTTTGCGACACCTGGGTCAATCAGTTGATACAAAATTTTTGGTTGTCAATCATAACATCCGTAAGCATAGACTGGCTTTTAGAAAAAATAAATTTCTAGTAAAAAGCGGCACAGTGACAATTTATTTTTTTCAGGCTTTTTGAAATTCCAGATTGTGTCCCCTTCGATCGATTTTTTTCTCCTGTTATCTATCACACTTTCCTCTGAGTACTGCACGATTCTTTCGTCAGTGTTGAAGATGTCCTCGTATCTCTTACCGTAGCTGTTTTCTTCAAATTTTTGGTTCCTTTTTTTTCGTGGTCGACTTCTCCAGTTACATTAATAATCGCCACTGGCTTTTGCTTTTCCTGAAGTCTTCTACAAAAAACCACCCATTGCCTCAGCAGTTGAAGTTGAAATCTTGAAAAAAAATTATCATCCTCTCTCAGCTCCTCTACACCTGTTCGTGCCTTTGACTTGGATTTTGTCACCTGCTGTCTGCTCAGTTTACGCGGTAAATTTTCCTAATAGTGTGTTCAAGTTTTGCTGGATCCGTTGAGCTAATCTCTGTGACTCTCTCAATCTCGACCTTTGTATTTTCATCCGAGTTGAAACATAACTATATTGCTTTGCAGTAGAATAAACAGGTATAATCATGCCCATTTTTCATGTTCTTGTTATACAGGTACCAAGTAATTTCTGTTGATTTCTCCCATGTTCTCCATTTCTTATAACAATTCAAGAAATTGATATTGATTAAGGATATATTTCGCGATTTCGTCCATTAAACTTTCTGAAAAGCTGTGCCTCTTTTTGTGAAAGTGGCAAGTACTTTGCGCTTGTGGCGTATGTGATTAGGATTTCCGCATCTTCGGTCAGTCTTTGTTTGTTTCCACATTAAAAAAGGCTGTTTTTTAGAATCCAGTTATACCTTTTAATTACTACAATTGAGAGAGCAAAGTACTCGTCTGCAATTTTAATTTTGCACCCAAAAATCAAGTTCATTATTTTTTAGCAAATGTAAATATGTAAGAGAAGACATGAATAAGCATTCTTAACTTCTTTTGGTTGTTTTGAAGGTTTTAGTTTCAATTTCTCTGAAATTTAAACCATTTTTAAAGGTCTTTGGTTACAATTTGATAATTATCGGTACTTGTTTCATACAGCAGGTAGAAATGCTTCTTCAATCATTTCAAAGCATCTTTTTGGTATCAGAGGTTAATCGACACCTATGTCAATCATCAGCTTCAAACTCGTCGATGGTCAATCATACCATCCGTACGCATGGAGTTGTTTCCGGTAAAAAAGTTTTTTTGAAAAACCGGTACAATGATAACTCAAGGCTCTCAAATTTTTGATTTCCCATGGTGTTTCCCCTTCGATCAATGTTTTGTCCTAATTGTGTATCTCATTTTACTCTGATTGCTGCATGACTCTTTCTTCAATACTGAAATACTTTTAAAAAAAAGTCCTAGTATCCTTTGCCCTAGCTGTTCTCATCCATTTTTGGTTGTTAGTTTTTCATGAATAATTTTTAGTTATTTGGAAACAGCTTAAAACAATATTAATTTTATACTTTAATATTTCTCACTGTAAAATAAAAACAACTAGATATTCATGATCAATAACTAAACTTAAGATAAAACTTTAAAGCTGCAACTATTTGTAGTTTCCGCAGAGAATTCGCTCAAATTGAAAATAGTTGTTTTGTTCTCTCCTGTAACCTAGCGATAGACTAGAACTCTAGAATCTATCCGGCCGAAAATAGATAGCGTATCACACAGATCGTGTACCCTTTATTTGAACCTACTCTATGACAAGGCCACTCAAGACCTACACTCCTCTGCGTGGGACCAACTAGTCTCAAGTGGACCTAATACTAACATACTTTTTGAAAAAATCAAACAAAACAAAAAAATTGAAACTAAATTAGCTTTATTCCACGTCAGATCACGTCTGAGCTCAATAAGTCTGATTAAGTCAAACAAATAGTAAAAGATGAAGCCTACAACGACACAAAGAAAACTAAAACCTGCAACGTAAAGCAAAAAGAAATCACGACGAGAAAAGAAGAAACTACTTTGGCGGTAAATCTTCCTAACTTTATATAAACTGCATTAAATAAAACTGTAAACATATTTTAAAAAAACGTAAAATTTAAGTATTTTATCACAAAGTACTATTAAATAATTAGTCACCACATATCGATAAAAAAGTTTTCTACTTCACACCTTAAATCTGCCGTAACTCTGCTAGAGAATTCGAAAAAAAAACATCAATAAATTATTATCATCATTGAACACAAAAAAAACAAAAATAATTTAGTATTAAATTTATTTGATGCTAGTTTGGTGAAGATTTCTAGTTCATCTCAAAGATCATCAATTTTTGTTGTCTCCAAAAAAGTTTGAAATCTTTTAAATCCCTTACCTAAAAAATCATTACTAAAAAAACTAAATGAATTGAATTTAAAATCATTAAGACTTTTCTTGGATCTTTAACCAATTAAATCCCTAATTTTGTTTTTCAATAACAAATTATCAAGGTTTCTCCTTGAATCCTTAAATTTAAATAATTCAACCAAATCATCTATGCTTGTCCTTGAATCATTAATCTCTAAATTTTCAAAAATGTTTTTCTTAATGTGGGATCATCAAGGTTTTCCTTTTATCCGTTTAAATTCAAATTGATTTTCAAATTATCCCTTTTAATTCAATGTCTAATCCACTAAGCCGTCGATTCACTTTCCAACTTTTCTAAGTGACTCAGGACTAACTGACGATTTTTCTTCCAAGAGTTTTTTGCTTAAATTAATTCAGACAGTGAAGAACTTCGGTTGCTGATCCTTCACTTGAACCGTACCTCTTAAACCATTTGAACCCTTCCCGACCCGGGTTTTTAACAATCCATAGAATTAAAAAGTTATAAGATAGTAATTTGGTTACTCATCCTTGAAATCTACCTCTTAAACCACTTGAATCCTACCCCACCCAAGCTTTTAATAGTGAGCTTAAGATAGTAACAAACGATCTAATTGCCTTCTAAATATACCTAAGACTTGTGGGTTGATTTACTTTTCTCCAACCCTAAATCCAATATCGATTCCCATTTAAGTATGATTGAACATAATTAAAAAAGAAAATGCCAAATGCGTTTGAGAGCAAAAAAAATCACTCTACTGAATCGATATATTCTCTCCCAACGCGTCCTGCCAGGATAACATTTACAAAAATAGTAGTAAATGGCATTATAGGAACTAGAACAATTAACACCTTGATTGTGCATCAATCAATCATTCTAATGACAACTTCCAGTTTAGCAAGTATGAAAAAAATAATCGTAACATTTGTCTTACCCAAGATAACCGATACGACTTAGTGACAACACGGCTTCAATTATCACAACAGCAATCAGAAAAAAATTGATTCTATGCGACAAAAAATTTGAATATAACTATATCTTACTAATCGTCATACACCCCGATATTGACCCATCGCATGGGCAAGTACAATTTTGAAATAATTTGAGAACAAATTTATTTCGGAGCGGCAATTGGCAACCGTTCACCAGGTATATTCATTATTAATTTACAGCGTGGAATATTTACCATCGAACTTCAATCACGAAATAAAAATCATCAATAACCGTGCATAGTACCTTTCAAATGGATTAAAATTTAGTAAAAAAAACCAAGTAGAAAAAAAATCAGTATTATTTCAGAACCTGAACACCCCAATCGTTAAATTGAGATTTGCATGTGGCTTGTATTTTTTTAATCATTTTTTTCTTATTTTTAGGAACATTTTCTCATGATTTTTTCATATTTGGGGTATCACCGCCTCTCTTCTATTTATCCCACGCTTATGCCTCCTTTCTTACTTCCTTTCCTTATCATCCCACGCCCCAGTTGTTTTACTCCCCTTACACATAGAAGGTTGTTGAAAGCGCGCTGGATACCATTTTTAAAAACTAAGTAGATGTGAGCAGGTTTAAAACTCCAGTAGGATGTAAAAAATGTAGAAAAATATTCAAGTTTTGTAGAAAATATGAAAACATTTTAGACAGATTATAATCGGTTAAAATTCTTTGAAAGTAAGGGATTATAATCGATTGTGTGATCCCAAAGTGTAATAATGTTCGACTATAGTAGCAAATTACTTGACCACGAAAATCGAGTGTAATTGATTATTATCCATGGAACCTCATTGTGGACGATTGCTTCACTCGCTCTAAATTTGACTAAAACTCAAAAACTTTGAACCAGTTTTTTGCTAATTTTTTTTATTTTTGTTGAAATTATGATTGAAAGGGCTTTATTATGGTATATCAATTGACCCAGACCGATGATTATTTACATTATACGCAAAAACGTTATACGCCGCTAACATCTTCAAAGCACGACCTGGTCAATAGCATACCACTCATTACACGCACCTGCAGTGGAGAAGTGGTGGGTTGAAAGTGTGTCCCCCGTAGCCCACTCCAGGGTAGTTTGCGAGGTCCAGGAGACAGACACAGACCCAGATGACGAGGAGGGAGAGCAGGGTGCCCTTCATTCCGAACAGACGACTGTACCACTCGTTCTTGCAGATGAAGATGAACCTGACAGACCAAAAAGCACAGTTTTTCTAAAGATGCGCGACAATTAAGCTTCTAAAATCATTTGCTGAAAATTCGTTTAGACAAATTGATAAAAATTTGGCTTCGATATTTAAAATTAATTCTTTCTGCTTAACCTGTTTTCAACTTATCACATCTTTTCATATATATTGGCCATGTCGTGAGAATCTCGAAATAGTATTAAAAGGGGACCCTTTAGTTGGTGAGGGGGTCGACTCCCTGAAGGGCGGAGGAGAAAAAATGCGTTCCACGACCCTCCCCCCTAAATCCGCCACTGTGTGAGATAAGTTTGAGGCTCCAATCATAACTTCATCGACTTCTTCACCAACCAAAAGGTTCTCTTGAGTAATTATGCACATCCATTTTCAGCTAACCGTTCCTAAAAGTTTCTGAAGGCACCTTCGGCGCCAATTTTTGCAGAAGAACTTGCAGAAAAAAGTGTCTATAATCGTCCCCTTTGGGGCGTGTTTTTTATAAACTTGCCTGCCTGCGGCGCAGAAATTTCTCTCAAAAAATATTATCTTCAAAATAAATTTGGAGAGATTGGAAAATCAATTTTGTCGACTCAAAATAAGGGGGTCGACAATAATTTCAAGGTTTTTTAAAATCAATTTCAAAAATTGAATGTAAAGACGGGATTTATCCACGGGGGAAAACACCAACAAACGAGCAGCTCAGCTCCGATCAAAGAACCGCGTTTGTGCCCTTTTTATGACTTAAATTCTTTTTTCTTGTTTTTTTTCGGAGCTGGTTAACGTTGAGCCTTACCCTCAAGCCTCGAGCAATTTAAATATTTTCTTCATGGGCAGTTAGTGTTTAGCCGACCTTTCTTGACAACCCTAAGAAAAAGTTCATTGTTCTTGATCTAAATCTATCGTGGGCAAAAGAGTGGTTCACCATTCGGTCTCACCTGTTGATGGCGACAAACATCATAGTCCATAGACTTCCGAAACAAGCCACCATACAAATTATTCCAGACACCTCACACAACACTGGATTATCCCTCATCACTGAGTCCCCCCACACCACCCCCGTAAGGGCAATGCAGTTCATGAACATGACCCCAAGGTCAAACAGGGCCAGGTTGGCCAGGAATAGGTGGGCCAGTTGTCGCAGATGACTCATGAAAACCAGTGAAGCCAACACTGAAACGAAACCAAACTTTTGCAATGATAAAAATTTATCAAAAAGTTCACAAAAACCGTTAAATTTTACAATTGTCATGGTGTTCAAAAAGCCAAAAAAAAACAAGCATCTTTATAGGCATTTTTTTCTTTTCAGAAAAGCAGTTAAGATTACCTTCCAACCAGGGGTGGATCTAGGATTATCTCGAGTAGGAGGGACGGATTTTCAAAAAAAATTAGGTCGGCTTTATTTTTGGTCGACCAAAATGATTTTCTGAGCTCTCCCAAACCACAATAAAGACCCCATTTTGACCAAACTTTCGGCGCGGCAGGCAATTTTTTAAAGAAACAGGGCAAAAAATGCGTTTTAGGCACTTTTTGAAAAACTTTGACTAAAAATTCCGGGTTTTTCAACGCGCGCTCCCCCCTCAAAATCGTTCCTTAAGTTGGATAGACTCTCGGGAAATTGTGATCTTTGTTTTGCCAACTCTTACGCACAAGTTGTCAATAATTAGTTACTTGTAACTAGAGTCCAATTATTGTTCCGACTTTTCAAGAATTTATGGTTTTTGTTATCAATTCAGTCATCATTTCAAAACGCACCATAAAAAATGGGCGGAACTCAGGGGCGGACTTTGGGGAGGGGTGGGGGACTCATACTAATTTTGAGGGGGAAACGCACGCCAAAAAACGCGGTTTTTCATTTCGTAATTATCCGAAAACTGCCAAAAAACGGCATTTTTGAACTGTTTTTTCAGCCTGAATTGGAAAACATATTTCTTTCCACCTTTCTTTTTTGTCGTGAAAAATACTTAAAATTTTCACAATTTTCCTAAAAAAAGGTCCTATTTTGTAACAATATTAGAGTCTAATTTCCAAAAAATTGTCAGTTTTTTTTTTCAAAAAAAGTTCCAAGATAGCGACTTTTGGTGAAGCCGGGTACCCTTTTCCAAGGATAAAAAACGCGAAAAGTCGACCCGGCTTGTTACCCAGTAAGTTTCCAGGCACTCCTAACACAGTCATCACCAGCAGCCACACTAGAGTGAAATAGCGCATGAAGATGAGTCTGCCAGTGACCAGGTCCTCCATTGGGTTCACCCATTCTTCCTGAAGACAAAAACTGCCGTTTTTTTACTCGCTATGATTGATCAAATTAGTTTTCAGCTGTAATTTTTGAATGGAACACCGTTTAAGCAAGATAATTTGTTGCAGTATAAAAAAGAACGAATTTTCAAAATTGTTCTTTTTGATTCGGGAGTTTTTTTTTTTAAATTTTTCTTTAGTCTGAACGTATTCTTTTAAAATGATGTCACACTTACCACGAGCTTACCAAATCACACTTACCCATAACCACCACTCCATGAGTTTTAATTGAGGTTGTAAAAATTGTGCGAAAAAAGGAAAAAGTGATTCAGATAATTAGATCAGATAGTTTTGAAAAATTAAAATCAACGTTAAAATCAAACTAAAGTCAACGGAGAAAGTATATAGGAAGTTTCTTCGTTATTCCGACCTTAAAAGGCTAAAAAAACATATTGGCATTCAAATGGTTTTCATCAAACTTCAGCTAATCAAAAAAAATCTCGAATCAGACGATGCACAGTTTGCTAAAAACTGTTTTCATCAAATAACTTACCCAAAACTCATCATTGTTCAATTCTCCATAATCGTCTGAAGAAACATTTATAAGAGAAAAAAGATCCATCAAGATTAATATATTCCAATTTGGTTATCTTGCTTGCACTGATCTACTCCTGCATTCAATTTATTGAGTTTTAATGAACTTGAGGAAATCCTGCCTGGAAATGCTGAGACTTTGAAAATGTTGGAAAAACGAAGTTCATAAAACGATTGATCAATTTTTGCCCAGAGCATAAATAATTAAATGCAGATTTTAAAAATTAGGCAAAAATCTGAGCATCATCGATTCAGAAACATATAGAGGACATAATAAGCTAGAGCCTAGAAAAACAAATAACATTCAGTCATTAGTCATCCATGAGACTCAACCTTCAAAAATTTAATCTCAGAATCAGGATAAGTCTGCAATTTTCTTGAACCCCTAGCTAGAGTAGGGGGGTTTAAAATCATGGAATGTGTTTAAACGATTTTCAAAACCAAATCAAATTAATATTTCCAAATATCATGATTAGCCTGGCAAGTAACTTGGAAAAGATTACACGCTGACGCAAAATCTTGCGCGATCTTGCAATGTAACTTGGCCCCCAAAATTAGTATATATTAGTATACATTTTTGTATACAATTAACTCTTAGAAATTTAAGGTTCGTTTAGCAAAAAATGAATCAATGAAAAGTATCAAAGGGTCAAAGGAATCGATCACTGAGAAAATGCGTCCAAACCCCCTTCCCTTAATTCCTGCTGACTTCTTTTGTATCAACCTAGAAAGAATGTGTTATGATTACCTCAGAAATCGAGGTTATTATAAGCTATACATAGACGTATCGCTCAAGATTAAAAAGTATAGTTTGAATTGAAACAAGTGTTAAGAGTGAAAAGATTTCCCTCCTAATACGTTTGTAGGTAGTTTTGCGGGTTAGGAAGCTATTCACAAATTATCCATTTGCTTAGATGGGTAGGGTTCTCATGCTTGAAGGACCGAATGCTTGAAAAGTTTCAACCAATCAAAATCGCTAAGCGTTCCTATTGGCTAAATGCCTTTCTCGCAAAATCGAAGTCAATATTAACAGAAAATGTTTTAAGTTAGTGGAAAAAAATCAAAAATATTACAAATTGCGGGTTACAACCGCAACACTATTCGGATAAACATCAATATTTGTGATTTCAAGTTCATACGAATTTTTCAGTCTTGACAATTCATCTGCTTATTATCTAGTCGGTCAATATTAACACAAATGGCCTGGATTTATTTTCTTACTTAGAGATTTTCGCGATTTACTTTGAGATTTTGAATACTCAATTCTGATTGGCTGAAAGTAAGCTAAAAAAATTCAAGCATTCGGTCTTTCAAGCATGAGGGACGCCACCTGCGTAAATAATGACAAAAAGCTCTGGACGATGATGATTTTTTTCTGTTTGAGAGATACAAGTTTAAATTCTGACCATACTGGGCGGCAGGATTTTTGTGATGTTTGTTTTAATTAGTTAAAATAATCTCTCAACTTAGTTTTATCTCTTTTAACTTGATAGCTATGAGCATACGTGTATGTAAATAGTTGTAGAAAAGGAACCTTTCATTATTACAACCCCATCATCGAAAAAAAAATTGAAAAAAAAATTGTTGGACGGACCATTTCTTTTGGAAACGCAAACGCCGACTCTCGAGTAAGTAAAATGAACAGAGATCAAAGCTAACAGAAAAACAAACAGATGCATTAGGAAGATAAACCAGACCGCCGATTAGAAACGCATCGATAGAAAATGAAAAACTTTGAGAAAAGCGAACAGCAAAGGCTGACAAAGAATTGCGTTCCAGCCCATCGCTCACTTCTTGAAATGAAGACGAACAAACTTTAACCAAAAGTACTACAGTTTACTAAGCGATCATTGCTTGTTGATTGCTTAGTAATCCAGCCTAAGTTATAAGTCTCACCTAAAATCGTCAAATTTCTTGACAATAGTTATAGTTTAAAAATTTGATTTGAAACGAGTATGACATTAAAAAATGGAAATTAAAAATAAACGATTTAAACGATTAATGAGCAACTGTCTTTAGTACCAATAGGGATTGGGTCAAAAAATAGTTTTTTCACTTAAACTAACACTTCTTTTGCCTGTAGTCCGCGTCTAGATTGGTGATTGATTTGTCCACCTTTGATTGCACCTTAGAGTATTGGGTCATCATTTCATTTAGATCCGTGTTGCTGCTTTCAATTTTCGGTAACTTATCAAAAATCTAAGATCGTATTTTAATTAATTTATAAACAAAAAAAACAAAACAAAAAGAAATGAAAGAACAAAATCAAATTATTCCTGAAATGTTAACTCAACTGAGCGAGTGAAAATTAGAGTGAAACAAAAAATTGACAAAATTTTAGACAGGTTCAATTTCAAGACAAGAATGCTTCAAAGTACTTTTGTCTAATTCTTAACTTCAAAGACTTTGTTTCATCGGATATGTTTCATCTTCCAGGTCTTTGGAAAAATTTCAGTAGTCTCATCTTTGAAATTTCTAATATTAAGAAGCCATTATTCATTCCGTCTCTGATTTTCAGCTGTTCTATTTTTTGGGTCTTTGTTAGGCTCCAAAATACCAGGTGCTTATCGCTTTAATGACTGCTTTTCAAGACAGAACATTTTAAATAGTCAGCCTGCTTGGCGACACATTTTCTTTTTGATATCCAACAAAATAGTCGATTTCAAATAGAATAATTCAAAAGGAAGTCAACCTTGAAAAAAAAAATAATAGTCTTTTATGTCCGTGTAGTATTTGCAATACTACATTTCACCCCTTTTTTAGATAGACAGCTGCTCGATACTTACACTTAGATTGGTATCAAATTATGCTCTTATATCGTGAAATAGGGTTAGGTCAAATATTTGAGAAAGACATGATATTTTAAGATGAAATCAAACTGTCGAAAAAAAAGTGAAATAGTTTGAATCATTCGTTTCCTTTTAAATGGTTTTAGAGCTTTTCCTTCATCCTTCCTGTCATTGATGTCTTAGATTATTTCAAGCAAATGCTACTCGCTGTCTTGATTTTGGTAGTACTCATCATCACCATCGAATCCAGGTTGCAATTGTGTTGCAAATGATAAGTTGGGTTTTGTTCGTCAAAAGTGCAGTGAAACCATACTAACTTCTTCTTGTTCTGATTGTGATTTTGTGTAATTTAACTGAAAGTTTACAGTTCATAACCGGTTTAAACTCTGTTGTCAAGCATCCTGACACAGTTCTATTTTCTGTATATTACAGAAAATGATTATGGGGAAACTTTGTGTCCTACACAAGCTAAGTATGGTTGATTCTTGTTTCTTGCACTTCAAGACTAAGTATTCTTTGTGCTGCACGCTGAAAAGTAGAGAAATAAAATAAACTTCTCAGTTTCATCCTGATTGAAACAAAACTAACATATCATGCAGCCGTAAATTTTTGGTTGGGATTTACTAGATGCAAATATGAACGAATAGAAAATTTTAATAGTTGTATGGCAAGAATTAACAAATATGATTTTTGATATGACAACATTTTTGTCAAAAATAGCAAATTTTGCTTCATTTTTGATAAGAAATAGATTAGATTTGAATTAGGATCAAATCAAATTTAAATGTTGAAGAAAGTAAAGTTAAAGACAATTAAAAAACGGTATCACATTCAATAAGATAAGTGGAATGTTTTATAATCTCTTGCAGCAATCCATGCTCACAGTTTAATTTAAAAAAAGTTCGTCTGAATTTTAGGATGTGAATTTTTACGTAAGCAATCATAGTAGCAATTTTTTTATTGTAAATTTCTCACTACAGCTTTTAACAAACCTGCAAAGAAAGATTTCGAATACAAAGCTTTTAAGAAAATCAAGAAAGACCGTGAAACATTTGAATGCTTCTGGGGAGCGACAAAGAGTTTTTCTAGCACTTGCAACATCAGAGAAGTGAATGAAACAAAGAGACGTTTTCACTCCTAATGCGAAGAACAGAAGCTGGTTACAAAATGCGTTTTTTTTGTACTTCACACTGAGAAATGAAGATGAACGAGTTTTCACACACAAAAACTCCAGGGTCAAAGTTTGATCAGTTTCTTTCAAAAACTTTTGGGAACTTCTCAATACAAATTTTAACAAATCTCCAATCACATTTTTTGAGAGATACAAGCTTCTAAACAAGGCAGAAAAAACACTGTTAGTAGTTTCAACCTCTCTGGGGAGCATTAACAAAAATGGCTAGCACTTGCAACAGCAGAGAAGTGAAATAAGCAGAGAGACGTTTTCACTTCTAATGCAAAAAGCAGACACTGATAAAAAAAATGCGCTCATTCCAGTACTTCACATTGGAAAATTAATATAACAAGTTTTTACTCACGGAAACCCCTAGGGTCAATTTGTAATCAGTCAGCTTGTTCGATGAACTTTGCAAATTTCTCAATAGTTTCTTTAAAAAACTCCACGCAGAGTTTTCGAGAATTACA